CATACATACATACATACATACATACATACATACATACATACATACATACATACATGCATGCATACATACATACATACATACATACATACATACATACATACATACATACATACATACATACATACATACATACATACATACATACATACATACATACATACATACATACATACATACATACATACATAAATAGATAGAGAGATAGAGAGAGAGGGGGGAGAAGGAGGGAGGGAGGGAGGGAGGGAGAGAGAGAGAGAGAGAGAGAGAGAGAGAGAGAGAGAGAGAGAGAGAGAGAGAGAGAGAGAGAGAGAGAGAGAGAGAGAGAGAGAGAGAGAGAATAGTACCTGAAAGAGGCTGAATGTCCACACGGCCAAAATGACGTATGTGAGGGTCTTGTCCTGTCTGACCTCCTCTTCATCAAACAGCTGGAACAGTTCCATCACGTCAGACGCCATGCCTGAAACAACAGCCTCTTCAGACAGACTCCTTTGTTTTATGCTCAGTGCACACTGCCAGTCAAATTCATTCATTGATTGAATCTGGGCCATCCAGATTTTTCTCCATGTAGGGCAGAAGCCATTATTTTGGCACAATTCGACCGAATTCGACTATTAGATTTTGACTCCAAAATCAAATGGTTTGACTGAATTCGATTGGCAGTGTGCACTGAGTATAAGAACCATTGAAGTACACTTAATAATAATTTTAAAACTGTTGCCTTTCCAATTTGCTACCCCCCCCTCCCTCTTCTCTAATACTCGCCCCCCCCCCTCTCTCTCTCTCTCTCTCTCTCTCTCTCTCTCACCCTCTTTTCTGACACACTGTCTCTCTCACTCTTTCTCTTTCTCTATCTCTCGCTCACTCACTCACACACACACACACACGCGCGCGCGCGCGCGCGCGCACACACACACACACACACACACACACACACACACACACACACACACACACACACACACACAAGGGCGAAGGCTGACCTGTTTGACAGGGTAATCAAAGTGAAATGGGACCAGATATGGCCTGTAGATATCACACAAGAATCTTACTCGAGGCGGCGACTCTGAGTTGTGAATGAAAACAAATCCGGAATTCATATTGTATGTTCAACCGCCAAAATAATCGGGAAAGTATCTTATTAAATATCAGTTCCCACTAAAATTAAACTTAACTTTAGATGTGAATACATAAACACAAAGCAAAGAAGCAGAGATGTCGGTACTAGATCTATATGTTATAGATCTACCAGGGGGTCTAAACTTTTTGGTAGAACATGACAATTATTATTTTTTAAATTTCACATTTGGCTGTTTTTGTTAGCCTTTCGCGGCCAGGAGCTGGTGTCATAATCGAGGTCACGATCTGATTATAGGACGGTAAAAAGTCGAGGGAAAAAAAACAAGCACAAGCAGCAGTCAAGAGATTATTAAGAGTTAGTTCACCTCACATTTGTGAGGTAGACTCGACCAGTGTTAGTTAGCTTACTTAATCAGGGCTTGTGACTGATTTTAACTGTGGCCCCAAAGGGGTGAACAGGGTATATGTGGCAATGAAAAAGCTTTGACTGCCATGCACATGTTCCCTTCAACTCTATTCCAGCCTCACTTTAAGCTTACTTAAAATCAAAGCTTGCGACTGCTTATGGAGTGGCCTGAGAGGGGTGAGGAGGCTATTTCTGTGGCCGTGAAACCGTTTTGAATGTTAGGCATACTGTTCGTTGTTGGTTACGAACGTCTTTTTACATTTAATTTATGAGGTTTACGTTTAAGGATGAATTTGACAGCGACAATGTTTCAAAATTTGAAAGGGAAGCAGTGATTATTTGATTATATAGACGCTTCGCCCCTGCTCACAAGGTTACGTGAGCGAATTCTGGATTATCAAACGAAGTCCGGAGACGAGTCGAAGCCGGGGTTAGTCGGTAACATAGCACATGGCCCCTCATTGTTAGCGCGACAAAAACAGTCAACCCTCATTCCCTCCCTCACAGGTGGGATAGTCGGAAAAAACGGGCTAAAATCCGATGGGTGCTGGGTTATACGGTTTTATTTCTAATGTTTTAAAGATATTTCTAGACAAAATTTAGATCTGACTTTAAATGAGCATATTATGAAACGGACAATTTGCTATCGATAGGGCCAATAAATTTTTGTGTGACAATCTGTGGGTTATTCGGTTTTATCACCAGGCCGACGATACATTAAAAATATATATGTGATATATATATATATATATATATAGATATATATATATATATATATATATATATATATATATTACAAAATATATATATATA